CACACTGTCCTTTCACACTCTGGGACTGTATGGTACAGTGGGTTATCGCACTGTCCTTTCACACTCTGGGACTGGGTGGTTCAGTGGGTTATCACACTGTCCTTTCACACTCTGGGACTGGATGCTGCAGTGTGTTATCACACTGTCCTCCACATTCTGGAACTGGCTAGTACAATGGGTTATGATACTGTCCAGTTCATGGACTGAGACATACATTGGAGTTTTGAAATTTGTTAAACTAGAGGTTTTCCATTCTATCACCCATACATTACATTTCGCCCCACGGGTTAAGCAGTCTGACTTGTAAATGTTTGGTATTGTGGTCTGACATTTAGCACAATTTCGTATTGCTGAATTTTATTGGAAAACCCCTAATATCTGAATACTCTTATCTGTTCTAAGTAGCAACTCAACACATATGCTGTTCAATTGGCTGTCCATCTAATTGTGTTAATGGGATTTTACTCTGTATCTAACCCCGTACTGTCCCTGTCCTGGGAGTGTTTGATGGGGACAGTGTAGAGAGAGCTTTACTCTGTATCTAACCCTGTGCTGTCTCTGTCCTGGGAGTGTTTGATGGGACAGTCCCAATGCCACAGAGAAATTTAGTGAACATGTCAAACTGTTCACAATGCAGAAACCTGCGTGACATCAGTATGTTTTTAAAAGGCCTGTTTATGCTTTGGTGGGTGGGTGAGGGAGGCAGGGTTGGGGAAGGGGAGTAAACAAAAGCACTTAACTTACAGAACGGCCAAGCCATGTGAGGGATTTGAAAGAGTGTTTGAAAGATTTGCTGTTGAAACACTGCTTTTGGTTGAGATGGTTTTAGAGCAGTAGACAATGATAAAGGGGCTAAACCCAGAGCTGAACAGTGGGACTGATGCTCTGTCACAAATGTATGGAAAAGGAGAATGGGTAGATGTTCTAAAGGCCACAGAGAGATGTGAAGGGTAAAGGAGGCATCACAAGTTTGCAATAAATTCTGTTGAAAGGGTGGAGTATTATTATTGAATGGTTAAAGACAAAAGTGAAGAGATTGAAGAGCAGCAAACCGGTGTGGTTGAGTGATCCTGGGGATAAAAAGGGAAGTGGCACCTCTTTTGAGCTGAGATATGAATGCTTCAATGATGAATGAGCTTGTAAGATGGATGTGTTACTGAAGTGGAAGTAGGTGGTTTGAGTGGCATGTAGGAGACGAAGTTCAAAACTCAGTTCAGAGCCAAACAAGATGTGAGTTTTATTGTGCCAGCAAGTGACTAGCTAGTGGAGTTGGGAGATTTCAATACTTCCAAGGAATTTAGAGAGAAAGGAGACTGTCCTATTAGTTGCCCTAATGCCTTTTCTCTAGTGATAGTTATCGTATTTACTTCATCTCCTCCTTTTGCTCCTTGATTATTTTTGGAACGCTCTCAGTATCTGAAGACTGAACAAACAACAGTACAGCACAGGAACAGACCCTTCGACCCACCAAGCCTGTGCTGACACATTATGCCTTTCTAAGTTAAAAACCTTCTGCCTCTATGCTGTCCATATCACACTATTCCCTGCCTATTCATGTATCTGTCAAGAAGTCTCTTAAATGTTGATGTTGTATCTTCATCCACCACCACCTCTGGTAGCGCATTCCGGACACTTACCACCCTCTGTGTAAAAAAAAAAAAAAAAAAAGCCTTGCCTCTCACAATCTTTTAAACTTGCCCCCTCTTACCTTAAACCTATGTCCCCTAGTAATTGGTATTTCTACTCTGAGGAAAAGACCCCGACTATCAATGTCTCTCATAAACTTCCATCAGGTTTCCCCTCAGCTTCCGACGTTTAAGTGAAAGGAAACATATTTTGTCCAATCTCTCCTCATAACTAATACCCTCCAAACCATGCAACATCCTGATAGGTCTTTTCTGTACCTTCTCCGAAGCCTCCACATCAATCAAAAGTCTACCCCATATGTTGATGCTGCTAAGGGTTCTGCCATTTTCTGTATACTTCCCTCCTACATTAGATCTTCCAAAACACATTTGTCTGTGTTAAATTCCATCTGCTATTTCTCCAACCAAGTCTCCAGCCTATCTACATCCTGCGGCAATCCTTCTCACTGTCCGCAGCTCCGCCAACCTTTGTGTTGGCCGAAACTTACTAATCAGGCCACCTAAATTCTCCTCCAAATCATTCATATATTTTACAAACAACAGAGGACCCAACACTGATCCTTGCAACACACCACTGGTCACAGATCTCCGGTAAGAAAAACACCCTTCTGCCGCTATTCTCTGTCTTTTATGACAAAGCTAGTTTTGTATCCATCTTTGCAGCTCACGACGGATCCCATGTGCCTGCACCTTCTGTATCAGCCTGCCATGAGGGACCTTATCAAAGGCCTTGCTAAAGTCCCTATAGACAACATCTACCGCCCTGCCCTCATCAATCATCTTTGTCATTTCCTCAAAAAATTCCATCAAGTTTGTGAGACAAGACCTCCCCTGTTCAAAGCTATGCTGCCTATCTCTGATAAGTTCATATTTTTCCAAATGTAAACAAATACCACATGGTCGGCCCTGGAGAAGATTCTTTTCTTTTCTTCAAGGAATTTATTGAAGAGGAGTTGTTTTTTATTCAGTTTTATTCAGCTATGTGATTGATTTTACTTAAGTTTTATACGTTTGATATATATATATATTTAATCTTTTCCATTTTAACATTATTTTCTGTAGGTAATGAAAGGTAGTTTATTTCGTATATAAAGTGTTATTGAAAGTTCCTTTTTTTACACTTAATGTTATTAAGGGCACAAATGAGGTACAGAGTGCAATGGCTAGTCGATTTTAAAAAATTATTACACAGCAGGATCAATCAGAAAGATGAGTGACTGTCGAGAAAGGTAAGAAGGTAGTTCACAAGTCTCTAGTGGCTATTCCTCTATCAAACGTACGTTCAGTTTTTGGTAATTTTGAAGGGGATAGTCTCTCCGAAGGAAATGGAAGGGGCAGTCAGTTATTGGACACGAGGAATGATTCTTATGTTAGGCAGTGTTTGACAAAATTTAATAGAATTATTATGATAGGGGACTTTCCTGTCAGGGCATAGACAGGAGCTTCTATGGCAGTGAGTGTAAATTTAGGATGGTTTGTTGCTTTCCTGGTGCTAGGATTAAGGACGTCTCTAAACGTTTAGAGCATATTGTTAAAGGTGAAATTGAGAAGCCAGAAATTATTGTACACATTGGTAGGAATGATGTTTTTTAGGAAAAGATTGAAGCTTTACAGAGTGAATTTAAGAGGTTAGGTAGAAGATTAAAAAATAGAACCTTATAAGTAGTAATTTCTAGTTTACTCCCAATGCCAAACTCAAATGGGGGAAGGAACAAAAAGATAAAGGAGATAAATCAGTGACTGAAGAGCTGGTGTACTGTTCAGGGATTCAGGTTTTTGGACAATTGGAATATCTTTTGGGATAGAAAAGATGGATTCAAAAAGGATGGCTTTAACCTGAACTGGAAAGGGTCCAATATCTTAGCAGGGAGATTTGCTAGGTCCATTTAGAGAGACTTTATACTGGTGGGAGGGGTGTGTGTGTGTGCCCGCGCGTGTCAGTACGTTGTAACTCTAAAGAACTAAACTGCATTGATTTCAAGGCAAGGGGTCTTATAGGTAAGGCTGACGAACTCAGGGCATGTTTAGGAACATGGAATTGGGATGTCATAGCTATTGCTTGGCTGAGAGATGGACAGGACTGGCAGTTCAATATT